CCTCGCGAGCGTCGGGCTGGGGGGCGTGCGGGGTGGGGCTCCGGTCCTCCCGTCTGTGTGCGGCCTGTCCTGGGGGGCTGCCCGCCCCGCGCGCCTTTGTGCTCCCCAACTGTGCGCCTGCTGTTGAGGGGCCCCTCCGCGGTTGTGCGGGAGCGGGAAGCGAGCAGGGCAGCCGCGCAAAGACGCTGTGAAACAGCAGTGATCACAAAGGTTCAGGGGTGCTGTTCTTTCCCTCCTTCTCGCCACGTTGCTGGGTGCCGCTTAGCCAGGCCACGTTCGCTTCGGTGTAAGAGGAGTCCTGAAATGTTCCTCCTGCGTAGCGTTAAGGCGAAACGGCCAGAAAGAGAGCACTTTGATTTTTGTTCATACGCATCCACGTCAATGTCAGAAAACAAGTCATGTAGGAGTAGATGGAAGAACCAACGGACACCCAAGAAATGTGCAATCCCTGGGTCCCCAGAAGTAAACACTCTAAGAGATTTGGTAGTGAGTGGACGTTCATAAATAAAGCAGTTTTGATTAGCATTTTTGAAAGTTAAATATATGTAGGTTTGTCATTTTTGCTTAGTCTTTAAGTGATCCAATTATTTTCATTTTAAGTATCCTTAGTTGTGTGGTCAAATAATGCTTACAGTTAAACCAAGTTGTTATATAATTCTGATTTAAAATTAAAGTATTAAAAGTAAAAATATAACACTAGCCCTAAATTTACTAAGTACTAACCCACATTTGTTTAGAAAAGATTTCATTACAGAGATCCTGACTAATTATGTAATTGCACAACAGACAACAATAGCTTCAAATATCCTCTAAAAACCCTGTTCAATTATGTGATTACTAGTGGGACCGGAATAGCTCCCAATGAATTGTTCTTATCTCTCTACTAAATGTGAGCATGTCAGTATTTTAATCCCAATTATGTTTATCCTAGAAGTCCTGGAGAACTTAAACAACGTTGTTCGGGTTTGTAGTCCCTACAAGACATTTGGTCTCATTACAAAAAAAAAAAAATAGTTTTCTTCCCCCGCATACATATATGTTATATAGATGTTTGGCTGTATACCTATATAATGTGCATTAGATGTTTGAGTAATATACATACCTATTTTCAATAAGTGGAAAACTAAAAATGGGATTGACCCAATTAGAGTTTAGAAAATGCCCAATTTAAAAATTGGCATTGTTGTTAGACTGCAAGTTTAACAGTTCTCAGTTTCCCCTCTAGAAAAACTGTCTGTGTGAGAATGTATGTGTATATATACACACACATATCCCATATATATCCCATTTATATGGCTATATATCTGTGGGCAGGTAGATAATAGGAAGGAGAAATACACATGTTTCTCCACACTCAGCTATAACTTCCCAAGGAAAATTCTTTTTTAAAGTCTGTCTTGTTCCAAGTTAGGTAATTTTAACCACTCAGCTAGTATAGCCATAATGCAGCCTACCCAGGTAGTCAATTCAAGTGAGTAACAAACAGATCTGTTTCTGTTCTAGAATTTCCTAATAGTAGTTTCATGGTCAAGTAAATCACATTCGGTGCTAAGGAACCAAATACAAAATATGAAAATTCAATGCAGATAATTTTTTTTTAAATTATGTAGGGTGGAGGAAGGAAGTGTTTTACATGAGCAGTGTTTTCAAATACTAAAACTTTTTTAAGTGTGCCACAGAAAATCTTCTCCCTGGTTATTATTTGAAGTCCATAGCAGAATTACTAATCCATCCCAACATCTATTTCATGCAAAGGTGAAATGGCATTATAGAGAGAATCTAGTTTTGTCTAGGAAGTATCCTAAGGCACAAAATGGGAAAAGACTAGGGAAGGGTGGAAAAACTATTTCCTCCATTCTCCTGATGACTTAGAGGAATCTAGAATTCCTGTCACCTGTCAGGGAAATTCTTTCTAAGCATATTATTTAGCCATAAAATGTACCATTGCATGTCATGTTCAGGTCTTCATAGATTATCTTTTTTTATTTGTATGTCATTAATCTCTTTTGACATGTGAAGCTTACAAGAATACTTATTCCTATACAGATCATTCTGTCAAATATGTACACATATCATCATCAGATGATACTCAAGGTTTATAAAATAAAGAGGCTGACTTTCAAGAATGTCTTATAGAAATCGGTCTTGCTAATTTGTAGCCACCTCAATGTTTTATCGTTTTTAAATTTTTTAATTGGCATATGATCATGGTCTTCTAATATACAACACTGGTTGATTTTCTGGTTTTCATATTTTGCAGTGTAAACAAATATGTAGAAATTAGGGAGTGTTTTAATATAGGTGCTTTTTTTTTAATTAAAACGATTTTGGTTAAAAACCCTTCCAAAAATAACTAAGGTCCAATATATTTTTATACTCGTCTTTTCTTAGAAATTGTAATTATTTATTTTTTAAAAAAATATACAGTGTGCAAAACTACTTAAGCATTCGGGACCTCTGGCACATCTAACTGAAATGATTCCAGTAAAAAAAAGTATGTTTTCTGCCGTAAGTTGCAGGCACAATTCATTCCATAGTACTTACTAGAAGCTTTGAAAGTACACTGACACTTCAGATTTTCTGGTTCTTCCTAAAACCAATTAACTGGTAATGCAGTTTCTGTATGTTTTCTTCAAATTAAGAAATTTTTTAATGTACTGGCAACATCTGCGTGTGTTTATCTTTGAGAATAATCACTATATAATTATTTCTAAAAGGCATGCATTATTACAATGCTTTATGTCATAATTGAAGTAATTCCTCTACCCCTTCTAAACCAGTAATTTTCAGTCATTACCCCAAAGGTGTTTATTTTGTCTTACTTCTTTCTCTATTTCTTGAAAATATAGGAAGTGTATTTTTGTTTCTATTATTTTTATATTAAAAGATACACATTGATTTATTAGATTACTGTATTTAGTCCATTATTATACCAGAATTTGTGAAAATTTAATGTATATGATAAAGATAATGAAATACTTAAGACTCAATACTAAATAAAATATACACATATTTTAAAATGTGTATATTAATATGTGTATATTATTTTATAAACCTTGGGTATCATCTGATGATTATCCAATCATCAGATAATTATTTTTAGAATTTAAAAAATACATAAAGGACAAACTTGCATAAACATTCATATTTCTTATTACCTCCAGGCAATAGTTTCAATTATTTCTTAATTATTTAAAAATATTTGGAGAGCCTTAAATTACGATATTTATAAAGTGCCAAATTTTGGCATTTTATCAGAATTCAAGAGATGTGAGCTGTTTTGGTACAACTTTTGTTATGGAAAAGAGAATGCATATCAACCGTATTGTCCTGTAAGAGGAAAACCCAAACATAAATAGCAAACCCTGATAACTATTATTTATTTTTTACTGGTTATAGCAGTCTTTAGCTGTAATCCATTATGCCGCTTCTTTAGACATTGACTGTAAAAACAAACACAGTGTCTTTCCCTCAAGACATAGTTGCTCCTCATACAGAATTGTATCTATGGAAAAGACTTCAAGAGATTATTACCACATAGGCTCTTGCAATGGAATTGAAACTCCACACTGCCCAAGACAGACACACCAGGTCATTTTCTAACCATTGAGAGTATGGGTACAAAAATAAATATACACATGCAGTGTTCCTTCTTTCACTAACTGCACGCTGCACCTGTGCACACATAGATCTGATGACATCTGCTAACATAATAAATCTCAAGTGGTTTGTGGTGTCATCAAAAACCTGAGATGGTGTGTGGCTCACAGCCTTACCAACCCCAGGCTACGGCCTTGTTAAATTTCACAGGCTAAATAGAGACAGCCTCAGACTCATTCTGCACACCAGCCAGAGGTTTTCAAGAGCAGGTTAAGGTGGTTTACCAAAAAAAAAAAAAAAAAAAAAAAAAAGAAAAGAAAAAAAGCCCACAGTGATGACTCAATATGTGAAAAATCTGCTTTCTGATTTAATGGTGGTAAATCAAGTTTGAAGTATGTCTCCTAGTTTCAAAAAAAATTATGAATTCTCAATTTAAAATATCAACCATTTCTTAGCCTATTTATGTTTTTAAGACTTACTTGGGGGT